CCATCTTTCAGATTAGCCAAAGTTCAAAATTCATTTATGGGGTACTGTGTTAAATGTTACAATAAAATACCTTGTGACATTTTAAAACTAAATGAACGAAAATTTATTAAATATTAAATTATATTCAAGATAAGAATGCTTGGAAACATGCTGGTCCTGCTCCATAGGACAATCATAGAGCCTGGACAAAATCAAATTGGTTACTGATTTTTTGCTTTAACATATTTTTTTTTTAATTTATAATGCTACAAATGTAATTATATTATTTTATCTCACACACTGTTTTATTGTGTTTTTTTTATTATTTTTATTACTTTTTAATATAAATATTCTACGGTTTCGATATTTGTAAATATGTGAGGAACATGTATAGGTACTAACTTTTTTAGTATAGTAGTTTATTCTAAGAGTACATTGTCTTCACGTATAATTATTTAACAAATGTAACAAAATATTGTAAACCTCTCCACACAAAACTACCTTTTAGAAGGGGCAACTAGAATCTTCTTTGTATTTTGTTTGACGTTCAAAAGTGCCATTTTAGGTGGTCTAATTGAAATAAATGTTTTGACTTTGACTTTGGCACCTTGTCTAAGCCCCAAGGTGCCATGATCAGCAGCTCGGAGCTACACTTTCGACTTTGCAGTAGAGTAGTAACATAATCCTGTATTAATTTGCTGATATTCTTGACATTTTCTGTGTCTATTAAGTCACCTTCGCATTGATTCCATTCAAAATTGATGAAATATAAACAAAAACTTGCAAAACTATTAACTGCAAATATATTAACTCTAGTTTAAATCATTATAACTTTATAAGAACGTTTAGAAAAGCAAGATAAAATGAAAATTACAATTATTTAATAAAGAATATATCTTTTCGTTAAAACGTCCAGAATATAACATATATTTAAAACGGTAGCCATTAAAGATGGCGATAGCTGTGCCAAATTATAGCAAACAGCAACTTGAGAGATTACGCAAAAACATGGCGGATAAACTCTGTTTTTTCTACACTGCCGAAACATTAACTGGATGTTAACTACCAAAAAGCGTGAGCGTTAATGTGTGTCTTTTCGTAGCTCTGTCAGAGTGTCGCTTATTGTATTCCGATTTCCGACTCACGCCTTTTGGGCCTAGGGGCTAGGATACCGATTGTCGACACAAACTGTCATTTTCATACAAATTTAGTTTTAGATTTTCTACATACACTATCGGCGGGGGCGTTTTGACTAGGCCCCCGTTATACTGTCAAATTCTTAACGTTGAATAAAACTTCAAGGGTATGTCATGATAACTGACAAGATGGTCAACTGACAACACCTTTGGCAATTGACATTTCATATAAGTAGGAAAAATAAAATCCAAAAGACCTTCTGTCATCTGTGTATTATCTTTTATAATTTTTGTCGAAAACGCAAAAGTTTTCAGTTGTAATCGTTGTATATAATTGTACCTATATATTATGTCATTATATTTATAGTCGAAATTATTTAAGGTATTCATATATCGAAACAGTACGAAACTCTTCCAATCTGAAGTTAAAACATTTGTTATTGTGCTCTCTCAAGACTCGAGACCGTCGGCCTTACCGTGTATTAAAAAGGTAAATATGATAGTACTAATTATAACATTGCCGCAGTGTGCATTTGTGTATATATACTTGTGAAATATCTATCTTAATTCCGATTCCAACCGTAAAGTAATTTTTGTGCCGAACAATCATTCTGAACTTTGTCCGCTAAATCTAAATAAAATACTCCAGTCCAATGGAACCAAATGTTGGTTGTTAAAAGGATGAAGTCCTAGGAATTCAAAACGAAAATCATTATTATATTATAGCCTCATTACTCAGTGTTTTCATAATACTTACAAGTCCAGACAACGAGAGGAAAACTTATATTATTACCAATCTGATATATAATATTTAAGTAATAGTTACATATAAGTAAATTTTAATGTATATATACATTAAACCATTCACAAAATTGGATCAGGGTATGCAACTGTCAGGTCATGTGATCATTCAAATTAAAATTAATGATTATAGATCTTCATTTCTATGTGTGAAATTATGACTTGTTCCTATGGTAAAGGCAAACATATCAAGGAAAAAATGCACTTGTTTATATTAATTAAGAGTGATAAAAGAAACATATGCAACATCATGCCAAGATTATAGGGTCATAAAGGGTAATACCACTTAATTTATTGAATTATTAAAATAAGGTTAATTATATTAACCGCTTATAAAGCTATCTCTAACAATCAGATTCAAATATCTATGATTTAAGCAATGTATCTACATTGTATCAAAAGAATAGAAATCTATGGGCACTTTTATCGCATAATTGCCAGAACCATTCATTAAATTATCAGTACTAATGAATCTATACAAATATTATAACGCTGAAGAGTGTCTTTGTTTGGTTAAATGCACTTATCTCGGGTATGAATGGAAAATATCATTTTATATTGGATGTTGATTATTTCTAGAAAGTGCCTTTGAACTAGGGAAGCATCGATACGCTTTTTTGCCGATACGATACCGATGCCGATACACTTATAGGAATATCGTCGATACCGATACCGATACCAACGCTTATTGAATTAAAATTAAATTAAGGTAAAATATATCAAGTTAAGTTAAAGTTTATAATTTTTATTAAAAAAATATACATACAAAAAAAAATCACAAACTTTGAATAATTTTAAAGGTTTTGTTACTAAAATTAAGAATTAAGAGTAATAATTAAATTAAAATAAAATAAATAACTGTTAATAAATAAAATTAACAATGATAACATTGTTGTAATTCTGTATGTTATTAAATTTGGTATCGAAAAAATACTAGTCGCGATAGCAGTTAAAAGCCAGCTAAAATGATCTTCAAATCTACGTTCACTAAAGTCTTAATGATCTCCCGCAAGCCATAATATCTAATAACTATGCGCTGGCAAAGATAGTTGACTCGAGTAAAAATTTTGGTCTACTAATCAATCCAACAAGAGTTTTTCGTACTACGAGTAACTACTAACTGACGTGAGACTGATCGTAAATTATCGTGATTCATGTGCACTTTTTATTTTTCATGTAGACTTTTTTTAGTTTATATGTAATACGTATTTTTGCCCTCCTTTTCATTTAATTATATTCAATTTTTATATTGTAATGCCACAAAGTGTTAATAAATAAATAGTGTTTAGCGAAATGAAATACATATACACATAAATAATAATGCTTTGTCCCCATCCGAATGATAGAGACAACAATCTGAATAAAACGCTCGGATTTCTCGGGCAACAATAGTCCGTGGCTCGTTTGCAACAAACTAGATCATACAAAATGCGTGTTTGTATATTTTTTTAAAGCGTGAAATTTGAAAAGTATCGCTGAATCGGCAATGAAAATATCGCCGATGCCGATATATCGGCAAACCCAAAGTATCGCCGATATATCGGTATCGGCATCGGTATCGGATGCATCCCTACTTTGAACCTTAATACTTTTGTGGAAAAAGTAAATATTACTTTAATATAAAGCGACAAATCTCTGGCTATATGGTAATCATAGTTTCTATTACAGGAAGTCGAAAAAACATCAGATTCTAAAATATAAATATACTATTTATTTCTAAAAACCAGCAACTATCAATATGTAAAATACAAAAAATACGATAAATTCTTGCAGCTTTCTTTATTACTACTCAGTTTAATTAGGTAGAAGCCACATAATTAAGGCGCCCCGTTAACGCTAGGTCAGTGAAAAGCTATCAAATTACGATGTCACCTTGGGCGCTGTCCTCGACTTACGTCGTTTCAAGTTACGTCGATTTCCGGCATAGGAGAATTCACTTGTCTTGTGCAAATTTGTAGAATGCCATGAAAATTTTTGAAGAAAATGATCCTAATTTTGAGAGAAGTTTCAACGTTAATAACAAAATTTGTGCAGCCTATCAGTGTTACCAAGATCTGTATGATAGCAAGAAGAAAGAATCGAAGGAATCTAGAATTGATAGTTTCTTTAAGCCAAAAGTTTAATTTATTATTTCTCATTACATATTAAAGTTTTGTCTTTGATTAACATAACTTTTATTCATTTAATAAAACACTATTTTGACCGGATTGAAGTTATGTATTATTATAAATTTACAACTATTTAACATAATTTTAAATTTATCCGACGTGGTCACGGTGACCACGCTGTAATATAGTTGTAAATTTATAATAATACATAACTTCAATCCGGTCAAAATAGTGTTTTATATTAAAGTTTTATAATTATTATTAAAATTAATAAACACAAATACCAAAAATAACTAGTAATTTCATAAGTGCATATATAATTATTTCTTATAATAATAAGTTCTTAACTGCCGAGTTCGGATGGTTCGAGTCCGTGTGGATCCTAATTCCTAACCCTTGAGTTTTACATGTAAACACACGAAATAATATGTCGCGACTTACGTCGTTTCGATTTGCGTCGCGTATTTCGAGAACCTTACATGCCCTAAGTACGAAGACTGCCTGTACATTAGTTAAATAATTATATGTGAAGACAATGTACTCTGCAAGAGAATAAATCTACATAAAATAGGCACAAAGTATTACATACAAATTATAATGTACACGGTCAATGTGCAGATTTATTTTCGGTTCATTTAAACTACCTATCTACATATAATGTGTGTATGTTCGGCGATTGCGTAAAATCATTGATGTGAAGTGAACTTGGAATACCTGTAAATGTCGCCATGTTTTATTAACTATGTACAACAACCACGCAAGGCTTCTTTCACGTGAAGGTGTATACTACATCATGTAGACTGTATTTTTGGACTTTGTTGTTACGTCTACGTAGTCGAAACTAGTATAAAATCGAGAGATAAATACTTTTTCTAAAGCTTATATTTCATAATATTTTTTTTCTTGAAATGCGTTGTTCATAAAATGAAAGTTAAAACAGTACTTCGTCCGTTCCAGGCTACGCGCTGTAGTGACCATGAGTGGGTCGTGGGAGGAGTTCTTTGCGACGCACCTGCCTCCCACTGACTTTGAGGATAACCGCTCCTTGCTCAAAGAGTTCTGTGAACGGCACGACCGACAGGGACACAGGATTGTATTGGTTACTGTAAGTTGAGTGCCCATAGATAGATAGTTAAGTGAGAACACTATCTTAACTATCTTTCCATTTCGAAAGATTGCGATTGCAGCAGTAGTCTTAAAAGTATGTTCTTTACAGTCTGGCGGCACCACAGTACCACTCGAACATAACACGGTACGATTCGTGGATAACTTCAGTGCGGGAAAGCGCGGTTCGGCTTCGGCAGAATATTTTCTGGAGCAAGGCTACGCGGTCATCTTCATGCATCGTCTGAAGTCGTTGGAGCCCTTCACGAGACACTTCAACGGCCAGAAGTTACTCGACATGCTCGAGATGCAAGATGAATCCAATAATACTACTATCAGAGGTACGCACCGAGTCAGACGAACGTTGGCGAATAACGGGTGATATTCTCACCGTCTGCCGTCTTCCAGTGAAACAGGACAGCGTGTTCGCCTTGGCCCCGGTGCTGTCGCGGTATCAGGCCGCGCACGCGGCCGGGGCCATCCTGCACGTGGCCTTCACCACGGTGTCCGAGTACTTCTGGCTGCTGAGGGCCGCCTGCGAGGTGCTGGCTAAGTCGGGCCCCAGGGCCCTGCTGTACCTGGCCGCCGCCGTCTCGGACTTCTACATACCCAAGGATAGCATCGTAAGTGATCGAGCCCTTTTCGGCGCTTTTCCCATCGAGTGTTCGGTTTGCTTTATCGGATCCGAGTGCACGATGCCCGCAGCCCACCCACAAGATGCAGTCGGAGAGCGGACCTCCGGTGATCCAGCTGCATCTGGTGCCGAAGCTGCTGGCGCCCCTCGTCAACCTCTGGGTGCCCAGCGCCTATGTGGTCTCCTTCAAGCTGGAGACTGAGGAGAATCTGCTCATTCCTAAATCGAGGGCGGCTCTGGAGAAGTATAAGCATAAGGTGACGAGTCATTACTTTATGGAGTTCTTTGCGCTCTACGATATTCTACGACAGTAGGTTTCCAGATGGTGATCGCTAACATGCTGCAGAACCGGCACCAGCGAGTGTTGGTCGTGACCAGGGAGGCCAACCAGGAGATCCTGCTGTCGAGGGAAGAGCTCCTGGCGGGTAAGACATCTCTAATGCGATACGCTCACGATTCGCACGCGATTCACGCTTTTCCTAACGCGTCGGGCTGCGCAGGCGCAGACATCGAGGCGGGGATAGTCGGCGTGATAGTGAGCCACCACTCGGAGCACTTGGCGCACTCCGAGGCCCGCTGAGGGCCGCTTCTCCCTCGCAAGAGGCTCTACCTCGTCGACTAGCCGAGACGACTTCAAATGGTTCGATTCCCGGTTTCGGAAGTAATTTCTGTCAAATCGGTCGGCACTCCACCACTCCTGTCGACGTCTTCTAATATTCCTTGCGCCTTCGGAACTCAACCCGAATCAAAGATTTATCTGCCTTCGGATTCCACTGACTGAGGCCATGTTATATTTAAGATAAGTGTACCCTGCAGAATAATTAATAGACGTAAAATTCCGAATAATAATGTCATAGATTCAGGGTTATCTGGTTGTTGCCATCGTTCGCAATAGTTTAGACATATTCATCATACATTTCCAAACTTTAGACGGATTTTTACTTATTTTTTAGATTATATATTGCATAATTAAATCAATATTTCCATCGTAAAAATCCTAAATAGGAATTGCCACGAGAAAGTGACGTCAAAATTAAAATGTATAATCATACAATATAGTTGCTAGAATCGAATTTCGCCAAAATCATAAAAAGAAGACATCCCTATTTTAGATAACTTCTTTATTACGCAATTAAAAATTCACCCTGACCATTATTACTAAACTCCTACATATCTTAGTGTTTTATCGATATCACGAGACCGAGAATAATATATATATATAATTTGACCTATGTAGGTCTGTTTCAATTCACGTCTAGCCACGTGTGGCATATTTGTGGTTATAATTGTTATTAAGATTCTCTCGACCTCTTGTGACCGATTGGCAGAAATGAAGCTATAGGTTGGAGCGGAACGACTCGAACTTGTTCACTCGCCTGAACCACTTGGGTGCTACTTAAAAGAATATTCCCGCTTCGCCTCTGCCGTAGCGCAGTGAGCGGAAAGAAAGTATTTCAGACAAGAGTAGCAATTTCAATATTTTTCTCCGGATCGTATATTCTAGCATAAATTGACGACAATTGTGTATAAACAATTGGCTGTTTACACGATGTGTTTAAATTAAACATAATCTCTTGTGCCCTATAGTTGTAATGTATAGATTTTACAATATGTTTGTTACGTGTTTATGAATAAAATGTTCTTAAAAAATTAATATTAACGTCTGAGTGCCTGTGTGCTTTCGTAAACGTTTATCTTGATAATTCCAGTCAGATCTCTTTACTGTGTTTTTAAATTAAAATAATGTATTATGATATTTTAAATAACATATTAGTGCGCTAAACGCATCAAATAAATAATAACTCAATAGACTTCTTCGTGAAGAGAAATCTTTTTTTTTCTCTAACTTTGTGGTTTCCTAAACTGTAGTGCATCCCTCCCGATATTAAAATGACGTGTGAATTAAGTTATGTAAATGTTATAATATATTGATTAGTTTTATAAATGTATTTATTGGATTTTGAAGGGTATTTATAGATGTTTGTAATTCTTGTTAAGAATAATGTATGTTCTGATTATTAGACATAGTACAAATATAATCTGTTTGGAACGTTGGCCTTTTATTTTCCCTTTTAAAATTATTTAAAGATATTCGACTAATTATATTTTAATAAAATAATAGATATATATTCTATATAAATTCTCTTTACTCTATGAATGTTTTTCTCGACTTGGCAGTTTTCAGCGACCGAGATATTTTTCGTTTATAGCGTCATGGCCTGTCAGAATTGTATGGAAAAATTTCTAAATACGTAAATATACGCTACTCAGTAGTGACCAAACGACGACCCGATGTTTTGATTTTTATATGTAGTTTTTGTTCTAAATTTATTATTATGGTAAGTACATATTTACTTTCTAGACGTACCAAAGTATTAACGTTTTTACTCAAAGTGATTGTTCATAGGAGGAAGAAGTCGAAGATATTGTGGGAGACGTGAATTATACTGATTCACAAAAAAGTATCACCGCTTCAAACGTGTACTCGCTCGACTTCACAGACAGTAGTTCAGATAAAAACTACTCTTCGAGTAAAGAAACATATGTCATCGATTGCGATGATAGCGACACCAGTGATAAAACGTATCAATCTAACACATTCCAAGCCACTTTTCCGTTAAAAGACGATGCTCAAACTCAAATTATAGCAAAACAAAACAATTGCATGGAAGCTACAGAAAGAACCAACAGGTTCGACAGAGATGACAGTCTCCAGCAATATTCTTTACTTTCACAAGAAATATTTACTCAAACGAGTAAAACTATTTTCGAACTAGCGCAAAATGAAAAGCGCCTAGCTTCAACAGCTGAAGGTTTAAATTCTCTACAAACACAAACATCATTTATTTCTATAACTGAAAACAAAACCGTAGAGTACCATATTCAACTAATAAGCGATAAAACCCATTTTAATCCAAGTCAACTGCTAACCAACTCCATAGTTTATAATACTAACTTTGTTAGCCAAGCAATTGCCGATTCATTAGAAGATAAATCTTCTTTTTGTCAAGAGTCTGAGAATGAGATAGAAATAAGTAAAAAAAACCTTACAGGAGAAACTGATGATAAGATAATTAAATTTGTGGACGATGGTTCTCGAGAGGATTTAGCTGAAGATGAGAATACGAATGAATATGAAAATTCCCCTTGTGACTCCGATATAGCAGAGGATTCTTTAGATAATTTGTACCAAGAAACTGATCAAGACATAAGTGAATCTAGTGAAATCCCGAAATCTGTTGATAACGATATTGATGATTTGTATAGAAAATTGTCTCGCTGCGGTGACGTGGGTTTTTATCAAGACGAAAAACTTGAGCAGGAAATACCTATAGTGGGTATTTTAACACCACTGACGGAAGAAACCAACGTAAGGAAAACAAGTGTAACGGAAATAAGCCCTAGTGAAGAAACGCTTACCAAAAATGAGGATACTAAAAACATAAGTCAAATTACAAAATCTAAAAGTACTGTGAATCCTATGAAATGCAGTGAAAACCGAAGTCACTTTAGACTCCCACCAATTAACAATTTTTCCTGCCCCAACAGTCCTTTGAACTTTTTATTTTCCAACGCTTGTAGTAATTTAATTAAAACCAATACCCTACCCCTTGTGTCTGATAACCGCAAAGAGAGATCGCGATGGAAGATTGACACCAATGCATCAGGAGAAAATCCCTTAATAAATATTAACAAAGGTAATTTATCATAGTTTTGATATTTCTCCTCCTCGAATCACGGATTACCGCATAGACACGGCACATACTTCTTAAGCTATTTATTTAGTATATTTATTATCGCAGTAACTCAGTTAATTATCTAAACCTTTATTCTCAGATACAGGTAGGTATCATAGCGATACAATACAATTACCTCCCATAAACCACGGTGAAGGTTTTATTAAAAAAGAGCTGCAGCTTGGCAAAGTCCAAACCAGCGATGAAGCAAATCAGGATGCTATAAGTATTAAAGGGAAAATACGAGAACTTAAGATGACCCAAAGGAGACCCAGGTAAAAAAATGATGACCGAGAGATTTGCAAATAAAACCCAAAAGACAATAGCCCGTAGTGCTGTTGTATTATTACAAAATTGAGAATAGAAATGTAGCACAATCCAAAAAGACGAGTAATAATATTTGTTATTAATTAAGGATGGTGAGCCGGAGTCCATCTCCGACTAGCACAACCTGTTCTCCGACCGAAACTAAACTGAGTGACGCAGCAGAGAGAGGCTGCGAGGCCTTGTGTGGAGAACTGCTGAGAAGGCTTCGTTTGAACTCTTGGTATTATTTATCATTTAATATTTATTATCTTACTATCAATAAATATATATGTGTCTGTGAGTGTGTGTATCTTTCAGGGTGCAAGCTTTAGAAACGCTAGACGAGCTCCCCAAAGTATTAGAGAATTTTTGGCCTGTCATAGCTGAACACAGAATTGCAGAGCTTATACGACAAGTAAGTGAACCCCATGGTATTACGTTAATTGGCAAAACATAGAAAAGCGGCAAGTCGAAAGCAAACTGATAAAAAAATAACTTTTTCATTTGCGTATGTTGCAATACAGGTGTCAGTGCACGTAGATTCTGCGCGCACGCAGGTGTCTCGCGTCGCGTGTCATACTCTCGCTGCAATACTTAAGAACACCAACTACACCAAGAAACCGGTACTCGTATTTATAGTTTAACGGCTACCGAAGCTTTTCCGTCATCTCTGCAAAATTATTTTGCCATTATTGTGATCCATAAAGTTTTTTTTCTTTTTTATAGAACATGGGGCAAATGGGCATGAGGCTCACCTGATGTTAAGTCATACCGCCGCGCATGGACACTCTCAATGCCAGAGGGCTCGCGAGTGCGTTGCCGGCCTTTTAGAACATATCAATAAATGTTATCGTGCTTGATTTAAGAAAGAATTAAAACCTAATAGCGCTAATAGAGTTGAGAGTTATTTATGATTTAATATATCTAGCTACAACTTTCAAATAAGTTTCCGATGTGTCGTGTACAGGATTTCTTTGAGGCAATAGCAACATTGCTGGTGAAGACCGGCAGCTTCTGCCGCCCAGTGCGAAAGGCGGCAAACGTGGCCCTTGACCTTGTCGTTTGCTCAGTTGACGTCACTCATTCTGTCACCGCCATATGCGTCTACGGCACAGGGTACGTCTTTAATCAATGTGTACAATGTCCATGCCATCAATGCTTCTCTCTTCTCTCTCTTCCCTTAGCGTAAAACGTACGATAAACGTATTGGGGGCCTACCGTGACATCCAAAAAGACAGTTTATGTTACCACGTGAACTCGGCGGTAATCAGATTTCGTTCGTTCAATTTGTATGAAAATTCGTACCATGACCGCTCGGCTGTCCCAGAATTTGACCGTTGCGCCTTTAAACTATGACAGAATAAGCGATTCTAAAAAAGTTATTTTTTGTTAAACTCTTTTGTATCGAAATGTACAAAATATGATAGTTGAGAACATATAACATTCAATATTTTAATAAAAACTTGTTAATAAAGTTAAAATAATAAGAAGTATCCACTATGTCTGATATAGGAAAAAAATGTAATTTTTATATTTTGGATATTTGGGTATTTTGAGTTTAGAAAATGTGATTACAAATAAATTATTAAAATATCGACGGAGATGAGAAACAAGACGGCCATGCCCTTCTACCGACTTGTAGATGTCGAGTTTATAATTTGCTATAACGACTTTGATTCGTAGAAGATTTCAGTGTACCTAGAAATAAATGCACAAATTTTTAATAATATTCAATTAATTAATTAGGCATGTATAAACCTGTTTTATTTTAAACCAGCTCCCATCCGCGTTAATTTCGTGTATTTTATCAGTCTCTTGCGACTTCTTCAACTATTATTCCGTGTAAACTCAAACTCAAAATATCTTTATTCAAGTGTGTAACCAAGTACACTTTTGAACTGTCAAGTTAAATTAATTGTAAATTTACTACCAGTTCGCAAGTCAAGGGCGTAGAGCGGGTAAGAAGAACTGGCAAGAAACTTTCCGCCACTCTTTTTAATCGCCAAGTATTGTCATACAGATTGTTTGAACTGGAGCAAATCAATCCCAAGGATTAGGATCATTTAAGTATTCCTCAAATTTATAAATAGCTTTGTTGATTAATTTTCGTTTAACGAGGGCTTTGAATATTTTACAATAAATAAGACTGCTTTATCACTAGTATTTATTATAATTAAACTTTTCCTTATTATGTTCGTGAATTGTATTATTCTCGTCTGCTTTTTGTTTGTTTAAATAAACATAGATATTTTTCAAATGGATAATATGCAAATAATAAGCCGTTTCAAAATATTCTAATAAACGTGTTTATTTAGTTAGGATGATGGCATAAATATATAAATATATACCTATATAATACTAAGGAAAGACGTCTTAAAATGCTATAATGTAAAAAGAATATAACATTAAATAATATCGCTACTGTGAACTCACACTGCATTCAGTAAGCCCAACGTCCTTGTTAACGGGGATCTTTGCAACAGACTTATTCTGGCCCTCCGCCCTTGGTATCGCAAACAAACTTGCCCGTTGCCGTCACACACACCAGGTACAAAGAAATCGCGTGCTTGTCGCTTGAAGAACACTTGGGTTGCTCACCACCTTAGGACTTTAAGTAGTAGTAGGCCAACTGTAACTCCCGTCTTGTTTCTTATTTATTGTACCCCACCATCCCTTAGACAAAATCCCTAAAACTTGTTCTGTCTCCAACATAAGACAGCCCCTCGAAGCAAAAATCTCATTCTTATGTATTATAGTAATTTAAATGTATTTTATTAATGGGATTACTCGGGGGAATCCTTCTAGACACAAAAGCGCTCTGGTGCGCTGCGCCACAGCTCGCCTTTTGGTAGTATGCGCTGCTTTCGCCGAAGGGGGTCGGCTTCTGCTGCGAGGCCGCCCGCCCAGCGCAGCCACGGCTAGAGCACATGTGCTGCGGGCGCTCTCACATTTACTGTACGATAAGAACGTGGACACCAGGTATCGCTTAAGGATACTTATTTTCATTTGCAAATAAATGATTTGTTTGTCTTTGGTCCATTTCGTCCGACCGATTTATTGGTTTCCTTTCAGAAAATACGCCGAACGTCTTTATGCCATGTTGCGGCCTCTAAACAACTTTGAAGCGTACTTTTTAACGGACGTCGACATCGAGACGGCGTCCAGGCAAATGAAGAAATATGACCAAATCATATCAACATCGAAACTAACATAATTCCCGTATGCGTTTATTTGGAGATTATTATGTATTGTCATGTTGCGTCTTTTATGCGTTGGTAATTTTAAAAAAATATGAAAATAACAAATAAATGAATCGCTTGTAAGGGTGTTCTTTCATTATTTATGAGTCTGAGTGCTACGAATCTAATCGAGTCGACATCTGCTTGTAGCCTCGGATTGAGGTCTACTTAATCTGGTCCAATATACCCCGTTTTCCGCAAAAATAAACAGCCTTTATCACTAGTCCTCTCCTCGAAGACATTCTCCTTAAAACCCAACCCAAAAAGTTGACGACGACCAGTCACTTTCCGTGCGACTTTTAGAGACATATTTCATCGCATTTACCATGGGGAGTGTTCAGAGGAGTTGTTCGGATTAATAGCTGCAATTGAGTCGTCGGAGCTTTTGCCTCGCACGCATGTGAAACCCATTGAAGTATTTCCGAATATAATTGGCGGCGATGGCACTTAAGAACAGATGAGCTTGCAATGCTCACATGTCTCTCTATAAAGAACGACTAAGGAAATATAACGACTAGGCTAACGCACACTTTTAATCTGATATTTAAAATATCTAATTTTTTAAACAACGAAGTGTACAATTTGTAGCCAAAAAGCGAACTCGAAAGAAATGTCCTTATGTATATTGTATTATTACTTTGTTCGGCGATCAGGATTAATATAAGAAGAAACAGTTCTACTATTGGTTCATGTTGTATTTTTTTAGTTTACCGTGAAAACCTTGTTGCCTTGCATTTCATTCATACAGTTGTTACGTAGGAATAAATTGGTAATGTTATAATGGATCAAAGATAAAATACCAATTTGTTTACAAATGAATTAGTGATAATGAACAACCACAGTTCAAGCGCACTTGGCCAAGTGCATGTGCACTTGTCATATTGCTTCATTTCGAATGCTTCACTCATTTTGAATGGCTAAAAGTCATAAAATGACAATAACTACTTTATTTCCGATTATTTCCTTATTTTAGAGTTAGTAAAAATTCGGTCTTAATTGCTATGTAAGTATTGGTTAGTAAACAAAACTAAAAACTTCAATATGTGGGACATGGACAGCATACCAACGTTTTAAGATATGCGTACTCTTCGTTCTTTATGTATACGTAACTACGAGGGGAGGTCCAAAAGTTCGTGGAATGAAAGGGTTTTAGTAAAAATGAAACAGTAAATTTATTTTTCCTTTTCAATATAATCACCCTTAAGCTGAATACATTTATTAGATCTATGAATTAATTTTTCTAAACCATCGTAAAAATATTTTTTATCTTTTCCCTCAAAATGAGCCAAAATTGCCTCCTTTACCTCATTGTCGTCGGAAAATTTCCTTCCCCTTAAGTCTTTTTTTAAATTGGGGAACAAATAAAAATCACTTGGGGCCAGATCTGGACTATAGGGTGGGTGGACTAGTGATTCGAAGCCATGCGTGTGTAGAGCAGCCATTGCAACTTTGCTCTTGTGAACCGGCGCGTTGTCTTGCAAGAGCAACACACCCTTGGTCAATTTTCCCCGACGTTTTTCTTTGATGGCATCCTTTAATTTTTCTAGTATTGTTGCGTAGTATTCTCCGGTTATGGTCCTGCCCTTTTCTTTATAATCAATCAGTATTATCCCCTCACAATCCCAAAAAACAGTAGCCATCAACTTTCCAGCCGACTCCGACACTTTGAATTTCTTTGGCGGTGGTGTCCCCTTTTTATGCCATTGCATGGACTCTTGTTTGGACTCAGGCTCGAAGTGATGAACCCATGTTTCATCGCCGGTAACAATTCGCTCCAAAATCGATCCAGGATCGTCGCTACACAACTCCAAAAAATGTTTTGACGCTTCGACGCGCTGCTGTTTTTGAAGCGGCGTGAGCATTCTCGGTACCCATCTTGCACTGACTTTTGTCATACCCAGGTGGTCATGTAGGATTCGCAAAATTGTGGTATCTGATACTCCAACTAATGCAGATAACTGTTTTTTCTTCAAACGGGTGTCCTCCAGTACAATTTTTTCCACTTTTTCGACGATGTCTGATGTGGTGGCCTCAACTGGCCTTCCTGAGCGGGGGTCGTCTTCAATCGACTCCCGACCATGTTTAAAAAGACCATGCCATTTGTAAATCATTGATTTACTAGGGCACTGTTCCCCGTAAACAGTTTCCATTTCATTCAAAATGGTCTGAGCGTTCTTTCCTTGCTTGGTAAGGAATTTAATGACAGCACGGTGTTCAATTTTCTCCATAGTTTCAGTTTTCTTCCGGATTGACGTGTTTAGCAGGCGAGTGTTCGTAAACGAATGACGCAATAGGGCTGAAACTCCATTTATATACTAATTATGAGTCCCCAATTAGTATGACACTAAGCGAGCGCCCCTATCCCCACTCCATCCCCTCCATTCCACGAACTTTTGGACCTCCCCTCGTAACTACTAGTAACTTCAGACTGCGACTTTCTTCCCTGAGGTCGTAGGTTTGATCCCCGGCTTCACACCAATGGACTTTCTGTCTATGTGCGCATTAAGCATTCGCTCGAACGATGAAGGAAAACATCGTGACCCAAAAGTCGACGGCGTTTGTCAGGCACAGGAGGCTGATCACCTACTTGCCTATTAGGTTGACAAATCATGAAACAGATACAAAAATCTGAGGCTCAGACCTAAAAATGTTGTAGCGCCATTGATTGATTTATTTTAACTAACTACTGTATACTTATAAACGTGAATAACTTTATTAATTAGGTATATGACTCGAGTTAAGTTCGGTGGCGGTGGTTATAGATATGTTCAAATATGTCTTAAGACGCAGTGTGTGTTATACCCGGCACCGCACCCTGGCATCTCGATGCGGCTGCTCTTAGCGAAGTATATTGGCGAAGGGCCGAAGCTAGGGAAAGAGGGAATAACCCCACGTTGGAACAGGTAAAAGCGTGGCTAGCCTTGGAAGACCAAGAAATGTTAGTAGAGTGGAAAAGCGATCTGGCGGGCGTGAGTGCCGGAATAAACTATCGAAGCCCTCAGACCTCTGCTTCAACATTGGGTAAGGAGGCGCTGGGGCCATCTCAGCTACCGACGTGTGCAGATGCTGTCCGGACACGGATGCTTCGGTTATCTCAGCACAAAGAAGTAGGGTGTGAGAGAGTGAGAACTGAGGAGGCACCAACCTGCCACCACTGTGTCGGAGACAGCCGGGACGATGCCCTGCATACGCTGGGGGACTGCTGGAAAGGAGACCTCTGCTAGATGCACTTCAGGGCGAGGACGCAAGACTGCCAGACGTAGTAAAAGCTTTACTGAGCGCGGCAAATGACGGCCCGCGGAAAATTTTCTAGCATTTCTGCGAGGCGGTCATGAAAAACAAAGAAGAGTCGGAAAGGACCAGGCTTTGTCCCGAAGCTTATTCGCGACGCCCTCACGAAATCCTCGCCACCTAAAAGCGCCCAAGCGGAGAACCAGGAGTCCATAGCTATTTCTAAAAAGAGGATGGCCCGGAAGTGTCTGTGTGAGTCTAAGTCTGTGAAGGATACTTGCTGTGTCAAGTACCTTCACAAACTAACAATGGCCGTGGAGAGGGAACGCAACCGACGCATCGCATGTCGGGAAGCGGATAAGGCTCTGCTGTTACCGAATCCCGCCTAAGGCGATTGTGAGTTCCAATCGCGAGACCCACATAACCCTCTTATGCGCAATGCATTAAACCCAAGTAAAAAAAGGATATGTTCAAATTTAATTATGTTAAATGAAACACTTTGTTTGAAGCAGGGTGTTAACTGTGTTTAATTGTTTAAAACATGAGCTTGTAGCTAACATACAGTTAGGGGTAGTGTGGTTGCGACGCTAACAAAATACTAACTTGGCATATTTAACGGTTTTAAAATCTAATTGACACTTTAATATAAGTGTAGTCGAACTTTTGGACAATATCGGAATCGAGAATGTTAAATTCTAGAGTTAGAATAAAAAAAACCCTCTCGTTACGTTTGAATTACAGTCTTATCCTTTACTGCTCGTTGTTGGGCAGAATGTTTTTTCGGGCTAGTAGTAGAATGCGCGTCCCACATTGTACTCACTCAAAACATTGCAAAAATCATATTAATTTAATTAAATGGAGCGTCGAATAATTTAAATGTAGGCAATTCCTGTGTGGGATTGTACAAAGATTAACGTGGTTTTCTTTAAAAATATTTTCATTCGACAGCTTATCATCTTTGTGCCATACTGCTATTACAGTAATTGCTCTTAGATGTGTAAACTATAATCATCCTTTAAATTTAATCGTGGTTTTATGAATTAAAAATGTAAATATAAATTTAAAGAAGTATAACAATATCGAGGCCACACAGTAACTGAGATTTTATTAAGGTTGATGAACTTTTATCTAAAGTGCTATTAAATCTTCTCTTCACTTTTTTTTCCTCCAACGTGTAAGTTATATCTTTTTCATAATTGCTTGCCACCAATGTTGACATCATTTATTTCAATGTATGTAACGACTGCGACCTTATTGACAGATATCAAAACAGTTTTTAACTTGTTTCTGTAGGAATGGATTTATTATTTTACTGGGAATTCTAAGTCAGATAAGGATATCGTGTGGCAGCGAATCCATAATATCTAATATATAAAATTCTCGTGTCACAATGTTCGTTCCCATACTCCTCCGAAACGGCTCGACCGATTCTTATGAAATTTTTTATGCATATTTAGAAAGTCTGAGAATCGGCTCAAAGGGAATCTTTCAAATGCCTAAGTGATAAGGGGTGTCCACCCCAAATTTTTTATTTTTTTTTACTATGTGGCATAAAAAATACATACAACCCTAAATTTTCACCCTTCTACGATCAACCCCATTTTTTTAGTATAGTAGATAGTTATTTTTATTGAACTAAAAAATGTTTCATAGAAATAATATACATAGCAAAACAACGTTTGCCGGGTCGGCTAGTATTAATATAAGGAGCACTATAGAACATACGAGTCAAGGAAATGAATCATATGATGGGTAAGTCTCGCAAGTTCTCAATGAATATATCCGGAGTTCATCGTACCTGCTCGCCCGTCAATCTCTGGCTCTCTTACTCCACTGCAATTACTACACACCACGTGACGTCCAATTCAGCTTCAAAATGACCTTGCCGATTAGTAACTTTAATTCGGAATAATCCTTGAACGTGACTTTACCATCATACTCATCTTTGTAATTTACCTTTATTTTAGACGATATTGTTATTCTCTCGCCTTCGGAAGCTTCCTATGCCATTAGATGTAGATCTTTGTGTATTCGTATGTAGATACATTTCTACCTTAATATACACAATATTTCTCACAATTGCTAAAGGTAAACTAGTAAACAGAAATTTCGAAAGTTTGAGGGAGATACGTAGAAGTAAGATTACAATAATTATTACATTTTTCCTTTTTTTGATAATTTAATTTAAAAGTATAGATTCCATGTCCATTTAGCACCGAAAGTTCTAGACAAGACAGCTAACAAAAATCAAAATGCACATAGAGGCCCTGGCCCTCTAATAATAACTCTAGATATAACTCCTAGAATGGGGGGGGTTAACTTATGTATTAACCAGTAATACATGCGCACTGCAACGTCACAGCCACCCACGTTGCGAATAATCATAGCGAATGATCTTGCCCCTGGTTCAATAATAACAAAGAAAAGTATAGTCGTTATCTAGTTTTATCCGTTTAGATGCTGCGGTCATCATAATATGTCGGACGATATTCATGTGCGCGTGGAGCGCGTCATGTTATTGCTGACCTTATTCAAGCTTTTATTACCGCGATAATTTCTACCATATCTTTCCTTATACAGATATCCATAATATAACAATAAAAGTGAAAGAATTGTGATGAAGTTACGTTTCTAATACACCTACGAAGTGTGACATTTTGTAGAACTCTGCAGGATTATTCCTGCCCAATGTTTCTACTGTAATACTTTTAATAAAATTAGCAGTGTTGGCCTAGTGGCTTCAGCGTGCGACTTTCATACCTGAGGCCGTAGGTTCGATGCCCGGCTGTGCACCAATGGACTTACTTTCTATGTGCGCATTTAACATTTGCTCGAACGGTGAAGGAAAACATCGTGAGGAAACCGACATGGCTTAGACCCAAAAAGTCGACGGTGTGCACTGGAGGCTATTAGATTTAAAAATGATCATGAAACAGATTCAGATATCTGAGGCCGAGATCTGAAGAGGTTGTATTTTTTTTTTACTTTATTAAATCTATGTGCAGTATCGTTTACGACAACACAACTTACAATTAACACGACATAGAATCCAAAGGATTTTATTTGTTACAGCCCTAATTTATGTGCCCAGAATGTAGTTTAGATAAAATTACCGGGTTTTTCCCCAAAGCAGTAATATTCCGATCGTGATAATCCGATGTAATATGGTATCATGTTACAGAAATTCATGAATGAGACACACCTCCCGCGTACGGAAGCGTTATCAAACTGCGTAGATAACATCTACGCATTAAGAAAGGCGCGCAAATTGATATATCCGTTTGTTTACATGGTCCCGACACATTATCTCTACACTACCAAAGCCAAACCTTTGATCCCCCTTGGTCCCATAAATCTAATGATTATATTAGTAAAATATCTAGGAAAAATACGGGACGTTAACTAAAGAATAAACGTTGTGTTATTGTTACTTAAAGTGTTATAATCAGATGACGTAATTAAAAATAATCAACGACAATCCAATGCTCTGTGCTCTGATGTGAATTCATCTATATAAAGATAAATTTTCAGGTAAAAATTATAGATTGATAACTACTTTAATTTATATGCTTTTCGATCTGTCAAAAAGATAAACAATATTTATTTTAGCAGCTATATTAGCGTAGTCCAGCAGTGTTGCAGCTTTCACTTTAAAATTATTTTTGATGAAATGTTCGTAGTAATAAAAGACGATATAAGAAATAATAAGTTTTAATCTTAGGTCATATTCATATCATAACAATAAATAATATTATCTGCGTCGTGCGTCCAATATCTAACAATGCTTAATTACATAACTTCACATCTAAATAACTTGATAAACAATATCGAAGGAACTTTTTCTTGGCTTCCAAATACTAGTGTTCTTAAATACTAATTAGTAATTCATTAAGTACAGAGTTACTTCTGTTAGGCGGTGACCTAATGTAGGTCAAAGAAAATAATACTCCCAGGCGAGTATTCATTCCGTATTTGCGGCCGTCATTGCAGCTTCTCCACAGGATGCGGCGCTGGCGGATAACTGCACAGCTTCAGGAGGCACCACGAGCGTTTGTGAATGCGATACCCGCGGACGGGAGGGCGGGCGTTCACTTGCGCCGTCAGGAACAACAGGGCCGCCAACACGGCGAGCAGAAGACGCTGGAGTTGCATAATTATAGTGTTTGTAAATAGTAGCAAATCTTCAACTATTGCGTATTGCGGGTAGGAGTTTATCGATTGCCGGCTCAGTGTAAACTGAAGATTGAGTTAAGATGGCCAGTTATATATAGGTGCGGGGGCTATCGCGCGCGTGCATGATAACCCGCCGAAATGGTGATAGGAAGGTTCGATGACTGGGCTTCAATGTCATTATATTTCATTGTAGTAAAATTATCATTTCGTGGATAGGTTATGATGTATCGCTTAATTTTTATTATTCGAAGATCGATATAATGTAAGCGAGATGAAAACACCTTATCGTTACTTGACTCTGTCGTTTAATTAAATGTAAAGCATTGCATTTAACATTTTTTAAGGCCGGCAACGCACTTCCGAGCCCTCTGGAAATGTGAGTGTCCATGGGCAGTATCACTTAAAATCAGGTGAGCCTCCTGCCTGTTTGCCCCTTGTTATATAAACATTTCCTTACTAGATCCTTTTAGCCGACTTTAAGGATATTTGACAAATAAGTCTAACGAACTTATATATTATTACGTTAAGGAGTAAACTTCTCATAAACATCTCACCTGCAGTCTTTTTTGCGTTAGGTGATCGCAATTATTTTATAATGGAATTAAAGCTCGTGACGTGACGAACAAATATAAAGTCACACATATGCAATATTCGAGGATCATTACCATCAAGGTGTCTATCAGTCAGAGTCAAAGTAATGATGTAATAACGGAAATATTTTGATAATTGAAGTTATCAACACGGTCGTCGCACGCGCACCGTACTCAACGAATTGGGTCAATGAGAAGCCTTGTATTTCAGACTGGACCGTCTTTATCTATCTGGGTTAAAATGGGTTTCTAAATTATGCTCTGTTTAGTCTATGTTCTTGCGCACGTAAGTTGTTAATGGACAGGGATTGTATGATTCACCTGTCTATCTAAATTGCTTCATCCATCAACTCCAGGCGCAGAAAATATACCAACGTAATAAAGTTACTATATGTGATAAGCGAGCATATCTTTATGTCAAGTCAAATTGAAAATAGGTGAGATGAAATTAAAGCGAGCGTACCCTTATCTGAATTACCTACGCTAAAAGATAAAGTTTGTGCCAAATCTGAAGATATTTTATCTCGCCGAATACGATGTATACTGTATTTATAAAGTATACTTATATACATGTAAGGAAAACATATTTAAAGAATTCCTAATAAATGAAAATATACGAATGGTTTTCACTGCTGTGGATTCACCTTTTTCAAATGGACTTAATGAAAGGCTTAATCAAACTTTAGTCAATAAGATAAGATGTAAAATAAATGAAAGTGATAAAAGATAGCATGGACTACTATTGCACAGAAATGTGTGGAAAAATATAACGAAAAAATATAACACAGTTACGAAATTTGCTCCAAAATACCTTTTGGAAGGCGAGAATGTGAATATCCTACCATGCGAATTGAAAACAAGATGCACAGAAGTAGATTTGAAAAGAGATAGGGAACTAGCTCTGGAGAACACAATAAAATCTCACAATTATAATAAAAAATTATACGACCGGCACAGGGAAGATTATAAATTGGAAGTGGGAGATAGAGTCTACGTGGAAAATGGGAATCGACTAAATAGGAAGAAAATGGATGAATTGAGGATTGGTCCATACAAAATACTGAAGAGGATTTCCAATTCAATATTTGAAGTTGATACCGGACGCAAAAAAAGCGGAATCAAATTACTACCACATTACAAAGTTATCCCCTGTAATTGTCGATGAGTAACAGTTACATGTAATTGTTACTCTCTGTAGGGGGGGAGATGTAAGGAAAACATATTTTCCTATACAAACTCTTTTTATAATTTATTTTTCTTCTTTGCCGTCTGATCGACGATGTTTAATTTGTCACTTGACATAATAGATGTAAGATGTTTTAATTTTTTTTCATTACATTATTTTATTTTATAAAACCTAAAATAGAGGCTTTAAATGTTGTTTCTTTTGTATTCACAGGTGAGTGAATAATTTGTAAATATATATTTTTCATTAAATGTAAATTAATAGATATTTCTTTAGTAAATAAATCTTTTGTATTCTCAGAGAAACGCAGTTGCGCCTTATTTATCCCCAGTACTCGTATAAGCGATCGATACCATTATATACATATAAGTATACTTTATTCACGACTTGAACTTAAGACTATTAAACCGAAAGTTCGTCGCCATAATTGCGCAAAAGCTTTCGTGGCAATCCAGGCCAATTTAATCATGATAGTGTATACTCTCATACCTTTCATAATAATTAATCACGTTATTCAACCTATTTCTCACAATATAAATTAATTATTATAGACATTCTGTTTATTAAGTGCGTAATTGACATTCGGCGAGGCTTTTGGAGATATCACGTGTTGACTTTTTGTTTCTTGTTCAATGATGCAATATCACCGCATATTGGCGAATTGTGATGGCTAATCTGAGATATACTATTGGAATAACTTCAGGGTCATGAACATACATCACCTTTAATTTGAAGTGTTTTTTTAACTTTGCTTAGCGTTGAATTCGTTGCGTTGTCTTGTACTCGAATTCAGCATTGATTACATACCTTAAAAAATGTAAAAGATAGAAATTAAAAATGGTTCAGTTCAGTTAGGCTCTTTTTAAAGAAGCTATAGCTGTTACATGTTCGTTTTCTTGTATATGGTAGATAAAGCTAAAAACTACTTAAACGATGTCCGTGATGACCTTTTTATTAAAAGAACGCGTACTCGCAAACTGGTGGTAACCAGTAATAGTAGGAATACTATCAGTTTAATAAAACCATCAACCATTTACTAAAGAAATAAATTGTAATTATTTCGGTTTACTATATCACAGTAGATCTAAAAATAACACAGTAATGTTACGATTGGAACGGGAGAACAAAATATAAACTTTTGTTGCGCCTTATCTGCGCACGCGTCCACCAGCAGATTTTATAACATTTGAAACTGAAATTAATTGAAATCATTCATTTGTCACACGCGATGATAAAAATGAAAAGATGATAATTTAACGGAACTTTAATCAATTTAATTGGAATGGTGCGATGTGACGCACAAACTTCAAATCTTACGAAACCGCCAGTTTGCTCCAAACTAAGGGCGAGATCTATAGACTTTTTTCAGACTTAACTTTCGAGTTAAGTCACAGTCGGTATTTATAGAGCAAACTGCGAATCTCTCTGAGTGCTAGCTTAGCTTAATCTTAAGTCCACGAAATCGACGACTTACCAAAAACTTTGACTATAGTCATGCTATTTCTTGTGGTTCTTTTGGGCCATTATTTACTTTACCATCATATCATTTACTTGACTTTTTACTTTTGTCGTAATATAAAATTAACGGTGATGCCATCTTATACTGGAGTTCCATAGACTTTGGGAAAAATAGGATTTGAATTCAAAGAAATGATAAATGATCTTGATAAATATACCTATGAAATACATGAAATAAAATAATGACACATTATTATGGTATTTATTATTTATATAAGTGTTCAAACCCCATTTTTGAGAGATCTTTAAATTAACTGGTGTGATATCGTATCTGTCACCTGGCAGCACTGGCATATGTTGACATTGACAAACAACAACAAAATTCAAAATAAAATCAAACCAATCAATAGAAGTACCGTTTTAGACGTTTAAATATTTGTTATTGCTAATACTTTTTTAAAGGATAATAAAGAAGGAATTCCAAGAAATGAAACATCAATTTGTATGAAGTCATTTTCTGTCTTAGCTTGTGCCTAGCTTAATCTCACCGTTATAATGTCTATAAATACTAAAGTAAGTTTATGCTTAGTGTACACTAAGAAAAGTTTTTCGTAAGTAAAGTTTCAGATAAGTGCGCTCTATAGATCTTGCCCTAAGTGTTTAATGAGAACGACGCACAATTATTATTTCTCTGAGCTTGTCCTACTCCAAAGGTTAATCAAATTAAGCTATAGTCAAGCTTAAGCAATCAATGCTATTTAGATTAAAATGAAACATTGATTGAAGTCACGTTTTTGCCACTAATCGTTTTGATAAGCCGACCATTGATAAATGATAATATAAAATCGCGCGATCCATTCTGGCCAAATGTCAATAATAACATAATATAATTTATGGATCATCACCGCGTGTAGTCACGGGCGTCATGGACGCTTTCAGTCTTAATTTTTCAGAAATTATTAATTAATAGTGTTAAAAATGGTTTTCGTTACTAGATATTTACAAATTCTGTATTAAAGAACGGTCTTACTTAATGATGCATTAATAAATATATAAATAGAATTAAGCTAAGTGATTAAACAGGTTCTAGTCGCTCTGATAGAAGTTAAAACACATGTAATAGTGTCTCACGTCACTAAATATATCAAATTCAAATTCAAATTCAAAAATCATTTATTCACGTAGGTAACACAATGTACACTTGTGATTCGTCATTAAAGAAATAAATATTAATGCTTCTAATTTTACACTTACTGCCAGTTCTCAAATCAAGGGCGTAGAACGGAAGAGAAGAACTGGCAATAAACTCTCCGCCACACTTTTTAATCGCCATGTTTTTTTTTTTTTTTACACAACGTTTGTAAGGAGCTGCAACCATTACACCATGTTCCACATGACATTTTAAGTAATTAATAATAATAACATAAATAAAAACAAAGACTTGTCCCCTATCAGCAGAAGGCATGGTGAAATAGGAGCACGCACTTACATTCTCGTGGGAACAACACGCAAACACATAGTCGAAATAATTAACATCAAAGTCCTTTGTCTACGACATATCCTTCGTAGCTTGAAACTTGTACTCGGGTGTGTGTAGATGGCTTTATCACTTGGCTGATATGTATTATGGCATATCGTAAGCAAAAACAACCTGTTTTATGTTTTGCCAGTACAAACCTAAACACTTAGATTTCTCCTATTAAAATAAATAGTTCTACAATAATAATATATAATAATTTTATTTTTA